AAAGACAGTAACAAGTAAAATATGAAATATAGATGATTAAAGTGAAAGACAACTGATATTACTAGGTAATGTTTGTTAAAAGAAATAGAAATGTAAAAGATTGTTATTAATATTAATGGCAGAGCTGTACTGGAATAGAATAATTATTCCATTTACTATTGTTATACATATATACACAGATATCTATACATATATACTTTTTTCTTTTAAGAATTTAGTGTGTATTTTTAAGGGAATGTACCAAGCAGAATTCGATTGAAAATAGGTGTGTGTTATAAAATAGAGGTTAAAAAAATGAATGTTATAACTGTAAAGATGTAACTTAAATTTTTAAACAAGATTTGAAAAAAGATACAAAGGTGTTGCACTCCAGTCTAGTAATTACAGGGGAAAATTTGTTTTATGAGAAAAGATAATATGAAATTGTAAACAGGACAGACGAAAGTATAAAAACATTGATTAGAAAGATTTTAAAAATTAGAATAGGATATATAATTGAATTAAGAAAGGAATGAGATAATTTAAAATAGGGCTATAGGAAGTAATGAAAGGGAAAAGCTATTGAAAAAAATGTGAAAATAGTTATAAGATATGGATTAGAATGTATAAGTATTTATTGAGTTTATGTCTGTATGGAGAAGTGATAACCCGGGGTCACACTGTTCTAAAAAAAAAAAGATATTTTATTTGTATTTGTATGTTTTGTGAAAACTTAAATAAAACTTTTAGAAATAAAGGGGGGAGAAAACCCAAAGTGCAAAAAAAAAAAAAAGAATAAAAAGAAACAGAAGCCTTTCTGATTGCCTTTGCAGAAAATACAAGTGAGCTTTCTACAAAAAAGCTCACCTTTTCTATTGTACATCTTTTTCCTAATCATAAAGATGTATCATAAATAAAACCACGATATACTTTCCCCAATTTCATACAAAAACGCAATAAGGGTTATCTAGGCATACATAAACATTATTTTTGCTGATCAAATAAGTTAACATAGCCATCTCTGAAAATTCAGGTTTTAGGTTTCTGCCTTCAGCTTTTCAGAACACCCAGGACAAGCATGTCTCTGAAGACTCAACCACCATCATTCTTCCAATAAAGGAAGAACTATTAATATAATTTTATTTACATGATCTGATTTTCCATCTACCACTCAGGAAAAAGGGAAATAAATAATAACTTGTTAATACTATTTCTGTTCACAATAGGAAGAATTCAGTGGTGGGATTCATATGTTTTTACTACCGGTTCTGTGGGCGTGGCAGGGGAAGGATACAGTAAAATCTCCAGTCACAGGTGGTATTTGCCAATTCTCCAAACTACTCAAAATTTCCGCTACTGGTTTTCCAGAACTGGTCAGAACTTGCTGAATACCATCTGTGGAAGAGTTCTAATCTTAATTAGTTGCCAACTACAGTTTCTAGTCCTTCATTTTTAACTAGGATAGAAGCTCTACAGGATAAAGTACACTAATTCTTTTTCTTTTTAGGGCAAGTTCAAGCAAGGCACGAGAAAGTTTTGTAAAATTTCCTTGTGCTTCGTATTTGTGGCTGAGCCAAAATACTTCAGCAGTTGTCTTCTTTTGACAGTCCTTTGGTAATAGAAATTGTTTACCTGCTTGTAGGTTTGGATTAGAAAAGGAAGTATAAATAAGCATGGTTTAAAGCATCAAACTGGAATTTGATCCCAAAATGTGAACAACTCTTAGCTGCAGTATTTGCTTTGCTACCTGGGTTAATTCAGGGCTGCAAAAAAGAAGCGGAAAGAAAGAGAGAAAGAAAAAGAAGAAAGCAAAAAAGGAAAATGGAAGCATAGCGAGTTGAGAAATATAAAATCAAATCAATTTGATACCTGGTGACATCAAGGAGATATCTATATTATTATTCTGGCTCTATGAAGAAAGAAATAGCAGCCAGTAGAAAATCATTATGCTTTACAACATGTTTTCTATGCCACCAGGTAGAAGAATGTAATTATGACATTTTAGAGGGTTCCAATATCTCAGCAATTATCCTTAAATATCTATAGAATTTATGTCTTTAGTAAAATGCAGTAGATTTGAGGATCCATAGTGATTGTCCTCTTATTTTCCCATAGGAGAAATCTCCCTCACAAATTTCCTGTAAACCGTAGACTGGTACACATTTCCACTGAAGCAAAGATTGTGCATATTATGGTCCCAAAAGCAGCCAAGGTTAACCAACAGAAAATGGAGCTTCAACTCCGCTGTATAAGCAAATTGAAGTATACAAATATTAGATACAGTAAAATTAAAAACTGATTGCAGCAGCATATTTTGATTTGATCTAACAGCAAATCATGTGTTGAATGATTAATTGGTTTTATTAGTTTTAAGGAACTGAATACTTAGATTAAGTCAACTAAAAACTTTGCCTGTACTGATGAGGAAAAGTCATTACATGACTAATGTATGACCCTTTGTTTTGGTTGGAAAGGGTAGCAAAGTCACGAGGCAACTGACACTGACAAGTTCTAACTTGCACATCAAGTACTAAACAAACAACGAATACCGGGACAAAATATTCTTGCCAAAATGCATTGTTTATCAAATTCAATGAGTTTCAAAGCAGGTGAGTACCAAGGTATGACTGTAATATTACATTGAGATCAGATAAAAAAAAAAAATCTAATGAAATTGCTGTATAATTATAAAACAGTGGCCCCCAACCTTTTGGGCACCAGGGAGCCAATCCATAGAGAAAAGTTTTTCTGTGAATCAGAGGGATGTGTGATTTTGCATGTTTCCTGCATCCCGCGAATGGAGCTTCACTTGTTGTGCGGCCCAGTTGCTGGCATGCCACGGCCTAGTGCCAGTCTTGGGGTTCAGGTCCCTTGTTGTAAAATATCATAAAATATTATCAAAAAAGTAGTTATTGAGGTGGACCAGTTGCTTTCGTGGTGTGGAGACAATAACTTGGTCCTCAACACCAATAAGACCAAGGAGGCTTATAGTGGACTATAGAAGGAACAGATCAGACATCCAGCCCTTGCTTATCAATGGAGACCAAGTGGAGCAAGTGGCCAGTTTTAAGTTTCTGGGTGTTACCATAAAAGAGGACCTGACCTGGGGTGCCCACATTGCAGCACTGTTTTACCCCTGTGAGGTAAGTTGTGCTAAGAGGATGTATCTGGTCCAAAATCACCCAGCTGGCTTTCATGAATAAAATGGGACTTGAATTCATGGACTTAAACTTCTTAGCCTAATGTCTTAACAACTAGACCAAACTGGCTCTCATTGTCAATTCATCAAGTTGTGGATGAGGCAATCTTACAAATTCTTTAAGTAAAATAAACAGTAAATAAAAATATTTGCTTTCTAATTCCATTTATATCATATATATGTTTATTTTTCAATTGGTTTCCCATTTTTCCCCTTCCCAGTGGAGCTACCCAATCTCTTTAACTGTATCTTCCTTCATTTTCTTCTTTTGGGCTAGAATGGGGAATGCGGCATGTTTTTCCTGAATATGTTTATGTGAAAAGGTATACTACTATGTGAAGGTAAGAGGAGGGAAGAATGGGAATTTTTAGAAAAATCACACTTTTCCCCCGAAATAAAAATATCCTGAGAACCAATTATACTTCAGATTCATTTAACCATTGCCCTTTTACCTAGTAGAACTAGCAACCGACTCATATATTGGAGATCAGAGCAGAGCTGAGCCCACATGACTTCCAGGTCAACCCACTTCCTGTTGGGCAAAACTTTAAAAAATAGGTTGCATTCTACTATAAATATGCCCTTGATTTCATATGGTGTATTTCTAATAGTTATTTCTAATAGTTATATTCAATTGTTTCAAGATAATCCAAGCGTTTCATTGATTTGGAATGAGTTTACAGCTGAGTTAAAGAGGGAGAGAGAAAATCCAAAAGAAGTTGATCAAGTTGGAAATGTCATCTGTCTGTCTTCTGGCTGTGCTGACACTAGAAAGTAAAGGAGTGAGCATCAGACAATTACACATGTACAAACTAAGAGTTGGGCTAATACTTGGAGATAAATCTATATTCCACTGTAAATGAAATTTTATGACTTCAATAAGGATCTTTGTTACTCAGTTTAAGTCTTCTTAACCATATTGGATAAAGTAAAAAAAAAAAACTGGATAGAAATTTAATATTTTTTTCACTTTCAAGTGTTTGGGCTGTGTTAAGGAAGTATCATCTGAAGGCATCTAAGATTCGAGATCGATCATTGATTAAATTCACTTATGGAGGAAACACATCCACAAAACCCAGTAGGAAACTTGACTGCTGAGATGGAGCAGCAAATACATCCACACAAACCATCACTATGCTTAATAACTAAAAATAGTCAAATTAACTTTGATACATGAGGCACAAGATTCCAAAACCTATAGCAATGTAATTGCTGCTCTTGCTTGACGTATCAAATATGCTGTCTTGAGAGATGTCTTCAATCTGATTAATGAATAAGCCAGTCCTATGAGTAATGTTATTTCAACACAATATAATGTATGGAATATTGCTGTGTGGTCTATATAAATTCATCTGTATGAGTGCATGAATTGTTCCTCTATCACATTTCTGCCTGCCTGCTTGTTATTGCAAATGTCAGCTACTGTGAGTTTTGTGTATTTTCATTTCCCCCAGTCCAGATATATGGAATGTTTTAACTTGGTACTTCTTGTTTCCACTTAGTGGGACAGAGCAGTTTGAAAATGGATTGGAGAATGATATATAAAAGCGGATGTTATTTGGCCTTCTATAGAACATATAGAGCCTCTGTGGTACAGTGGTTAGAGTGCAGTACTGCAAGCTACTTCTGCAGCCAGCTTCCTACAGTTTGGCAGTTCAAATCCCATCAGGCTCAAAGTTGACTCAGCCTTCCATCCTTCCGAGGTGGGTAAAATGAGGACCCAGATGGTTGGGGGCAATATGCTGACTCTGTAAACCGCTTAGAGAGGGCTGTAAAGCACTATAAAGTGGTATATAAGTCTAAGTGCTATTGCTATTTCCTTCTAGTCCTGTGATAACAGTCAACCAAGGGCATAAGTTATTACCACTCATTCTATAGGAGAGATGTCCTATAAGATATTTTGCAGAGTGATTTAAATTGGATAAAAAGAATAGCGTTTTGTAGATGAAGAAATATTGAATAACTAAATGCGGGATTATTATACAAGGTGGAGTAAATATTATTATGTCAACAATTTAAATTGCATATTTATAATGTTATAATGATATGGGTATGACTAATGTAATTAAAATAACTGCAATGGATAAGAGATGAAGGGTAGAAATAGAATATCTATTAATAAGATTGGTGTTATCGGGATATGAGATAGAAGTAGACATTCGAAAGAGGAAAATACTACAATGAATATTGTTATATGTTAAAACTAGCTGGTAATGAAAAGACAAAAAGTTGAAAGAGAGCTGTATTCTATATAATGTTATTAGAAAGATGTAAGTTTAATGTAGGTGATTAAAATTGTTAATTTTATTATAATTACTGGGTATCAAAATTAATACCCCGAAACTACACTGTCCATGTATTTAATACTTATATACATTCAAAAATAAAAAAAAACTTAATAATAAAAACAGAAATTTTGCAAAGTGATTTAAATGGGATAAAAAGAATTTTGTTTTTGTAGGCCAAAAAACAGACTTTGAAACGGATCCATATACTAACAATGAACATCTTATTGCCAGGTATATAAAGTGTTATCAAAATGAATCAGGATGATGACTGTATTAAAGACTGTATGATTAAATGGACAAAATGCAATATTATGCTTAATCAATGGGAAAATATATAAGGGAATAAAATATAAGGGAATATTAAATAAGTGTTGGAAAAGTAAGCAGTTTAAAGGTACTTTTTACTATCTTTAGCGGACATCTAAGAATCCCAACAATTATTGGGACCAGATTTGTTGTTAGATTCGGAAGATACTAAAAATGGATGTATATGTCAGCCTTCAAGATTTTCTTCCTTTGCTTTGCATCTTTCGGCTGTCATAAGTAACGGGGGTGAACTAGAATGAACTTCTGAAAACGTATTAAAATGTATTAAAACGTATCAAAAAGGAATCCTTTACTGAGATGAGACAATTCATGTAGGAGTTAAAAGCAGTGTCTAAAGTCTCTCAGGCATGCAGAGATAGATAAGGGAGTTTAAAACCCCTCCCCTTATCTTGATGTATATTTAGTAAAACAAAGAGCCAACATGTTAATTCCCTCCACCCCCTTTTGAGAACGATCTTTTTCAGAGTTTCCCAGGACACATCTCACTGTGGAATTTTTATGGTCTCTTCATCTCCCGGCTATCTCTCTCAGAGGTGATAGGTTCCGGTCATCTGGGTTTCATCTTTCCATTGTATCATGTGTAGGTTATACAAATTCGATATAAGATTAAATATATTCAGGTTACATAAAGAAGGATTTCTTTATCAGTCTCTCCCCCCCCTTTTCTTCTTTCATTGAAGAAATGACAGATACAAGGATCTGACAGGGGGGAGGAGGGGGGGACATGATTATGGGAAGCGAGCTGGAGGTTTCACAAAACAGAACTGTATAAGTTGGGGAGGGAAGTTTTTTGCTTAGGCTTCTATCCTATGCTACGCGCAACCGCAACTCTTTATCAAAATATACCAAGGTCAACGGACAGAGGCCTCATCACCACCTGGAGATGCCCACATGAGGCGATACACAACTTTTAATTGGATGAGCCAATTGAACTATTGGGGGTGGGAACGTTGCCATCACATTGTGATTTATGCGCTCATTTTCTCAGGTTCAGAATTCTTTTGTTGCTACCATTTGATTTCTAATAAAAAATATCTTTTCTCGAATTAATGGAGTCTAAGTATTTCTTTCTTGGATTTTGAATGGAGCACCAGCTGACACTATAGATGAAACTAGAAGTTTTACTTTTAAGTATAATAAATAAGCAAATGAAAAGAAAACATGGGACTTCTTGCTTGAGAAAGAAAAAAAATGAAATTTTGATTTTAGAATTTGATGCTTAGATCTGTTATGATTACAGAAATGTTGCCTATGTTCATTATGTGTGTATGTATGTGGTTTAGGTTTAAATTTAGAGTAAGAGGTTATTTTATTATGCATTGATTACTTAATTTGTATACTTTTTATACAATGTTTTGTGTTTTTTTAATCTTAGAGTAAGAGGTTATTTAAATATTTCATTATATATTTGCATTTCTATAGAAGAAAGTTTGAAAATCCTGTCATACTTTTTCTTGTAGCTTCTAAACTTTTTTCTCTTTTTGATCCTTATGCCTCATATTTTTTTCCTTTTCTGTTATTTTGTATTTTATTATTTTAATGTAATAAAGCAGTTTTAAAAAAGAGAAATTTGCTGAATATTCTGTCTATATCTTTTCCTTCCTTAATTTAAATTATTTTAATTTAGTATACTGTCTAAAACTTTCTTTCATATTTGTACATCTATATCAGGATCCAGGAAAAATTAATCGTCAAATAGTTTAATAATGTGGTTCAGTGGTTGCCAGTAGAAAAGAGCTATCTATTGAAGACTGAAGACTTGAAGGGATCACTTTCTATAGCACACAATAGATGGGAGACTAGGAATTTGGACATTATAGCCTAATAAATGTCTTTGATTATGGCAAGACAAACTGAAAGTTATTTATTAAATCTGATGAAGAAGAAATGGTTATTACCATGGTCGTAATGTTGGTGGGGAAGGTTCTCCAATTTTTGCCTGTGCACATTGTCCTGATATTTTGAAGGAAATACAAGATATAGGTATAATAAATCAGCATCCTGTGCATTTAAAAATACTAAATTAAATACTAAACATAGAGGAAGTGGTTATCCCTGCAGGGAATGCTAGCTAAAATCCTGTCTTCCAGTCACCACACCTTTTACAATTGACAAAGGCAGTAGCATCTATGGCAGGTGGGCTCAAAATAGGAAAGTCAGCAGTCATAGCAGTACAATATTCAAATCCTACCCCTTTTCTGTATGTGCTAGTGTAATTCATAAATTCATAGCCATGGATATTTAATTGTACTGTCATGATTAACTGATTTTTCTATTTTGACATTTTCCCCTCCTGTGGATGCCACTGAATTAAGGAAGACTTAAGTTTTCTGCACCCCGGTTCATAATTTTTGAAAACCAGCAGTGTAAATATCTGTTACAGCATTACAGATAGTCCACGACTTACAATAGTTTGTTTAGTGACATTTATAAATTCAGGTTTCGGTTTCTACTTTCAGCTTTTTGTAATACCCAGGACAAGCATGTCACTGAAGACTCTACCACCACCATTCTTCAAATAAAGGAAGAAATATTAATTTTATTTTATTTACATGATCTGATTTTCCATCTACCACTCAAAGAAAAAGGGAAATACATAATAACGTGTTAATACTATTTCTGTTCACAATAGGAAGAGTTCTAATCTTAATTAGTTGCCAACTACAGTTTCCAGTCCTTCATTTTTAACTAGGATAGAAGCTCTACAGGATAAAGTACACTGATTCTTTTCCTTTTATTTTTTTTTAGGTCAAGTTCTGGCAAGACATGAGAAAGCTTTGTGGAGTTTCCTTGTGCTTCCTATTTGTGGCTGAGCCAAAATGCTTCAGCAGTAATCTTCTGTTTTGACTGTTCATTGGCACTAGAAATTGTTTTGTGTATATTATGGTTTTGAAAGCAGCCAAAGTTAACCTAGAGAATGGGCTTCAACTCCTCTGTATAAGCAAATAAAATATACAAATATCAAATACAGTAAAATTAAAAACTGGTTGCACCAGTATATTTTAATTTGATGTAACAGCAAAGCGTGTTGAATGAAGTAGTTAGGGTGAATCAATTAGGTAATGGAATCAGTACCACAAAGACAGTGCTGCATTTGAGGGAAAAAAGAAGTATCACGAAGTTCTAGGCAGTTACTTTTAGAATTTTATCTGATATTGGATAAAGTACTTATACTCTCTGAAGAAATCCATCAAAATATTAACTAGCCCTGTCTCTGGCCTTTCCAAGTACTCAAAGATCAGCCAGATTCTGCCACTTCTGAAGATAGATGGTATGGCCTAGTATAAATTCAGAAGTCCTGCAAATCGTGTAAATCTGTTTTATCAGGGCCTGCAATTTTATGTTCTATTTATATTCACCCATGTTTTCTGGTAGGAAGGAGAGATTTAGAACAAGCATCCATTGAGTGATGCTTGCAGTCCTGGGTTTCAGGCAGTGAACATTTCCAGAACTTTATGGAAATACTTGAAAATGAATCAACAAGAAAGTGTGCCCTGTTTCTAGTCTACTTGCTTCATTAAATTCTGGGCCAGGGGATTTGAACAAATTGCACAAATTATGCAAACTAATCACATTTGCTTATATGGTATGTTTTCTTATTTGCTTAATTTTATGTTGGTTTCAGAAAAAGTTATGATTATTGGAGAAATTTTAAACTTGTTCATTTCTGTACCCAATCGAAGAGTTTCCTTGAAGTAAGATGGGTGGCGTATACATTTATAATACATATAAAATAAAATAAAATGTTTCTTCCTTTTTCTGTAATATTGCAGAATTACAATATGCATGAAGAATAAACTCTTGCTCTGTCATGAGAAACAGAATTACGTATTCAACAGCCCAGAAATACTTGTCAGAAATTCTGAATAGGTTATGTTTCTAACACGTGAATTCAATCTTTAAAGCTGATTCAAGAAAATGTAGGAGGAGACACCAAACTAAATATGAATATTTATATAAATTCTCAATTCCCCGTTTATAATACAATAATGACATACTGTATCACAACTCGATACAAAGACTAAAAAGCAATGGGTACAGTGCTACTGTCTGCTTAGGGTTGACTTTCCAATTAATGCATAGTACCGTTATTATACTAAATGAACGTGGTTAGGATGTCATTCCATGTAGTCCCTGCAAAGCAACTATCTACAGCCCTGAATCGTTTTTCATTTTGCAAGTTTATGAGACCCATTGCTATATTTCAGATTAATAATTTATAGTGAAATAAAAAATGCATTTATTATAGGTTAGAGGTAGACTGTAGTATACAATTAAATGTATTTAAACCCATTGAGCCTGTGCTGAGTTATGTACTTCTCTCTTTTTTTTTTTTGAGATTATCAGGAAATGGGAGTTGGAATCGTCTATGAGACAGGCTAGTCTTTAACCCCACAAAGCTTCCCCAAATAGTTCAAAATGTGGCCATCTCGACAGTGCAATCTAGGAGTCAAAGATCAATGGTTGATTGAATGCCTACCACTGATGGGTCATGGTGCACTTGTGATACTGTAGCAAGGGGTTAAGGTCCTTGGGAAGTACATAATATTTAAGCTGAAATAGGATTGTGCTCTTATATTTTCTAAAATATTATATTTTTTAAACATCAGGAAGAACATGATACTTTTCCTATTTTTCATAATAGACAAAAATCTTGAAGCACATTAATGAGCAAAGAAATGCACTGTGCACAACGTCTTTCAAAAATAGAGATGCTCCTTTTATTTTCATCATCCACCAAATGGTACTATTTTCTCAATTTAAAATACAGGGATTTGTTAGAAAAATATGTAAATTTTTAAAAATTTGACTTCTCTGGAAGTCTGTTTGAAGAACAATAAACTATTATCATCCCACTTATGTCTCCAGAGACAGTAACGCATTAATATAAATGGGCTTTACTGCTGTAACAATAAAATATATTACATTGCTGATATATTTTGTCTTTTTCCATTTTTATTGGTGAGTCTTAATATATTCCATTGTACTCTTTTTCTTTATTTCCTCAGGAGGAGTAAATTCCACCAAATATATAGTAATGCCTGTCATTTGTATTTTGAACTTCTGTTGAGTTACTTTGAAATGATTAAAAAATTAGAAGTTTGTACAAATCTATACATAAACTTTAAAAAATTCCAAGATAAAGCAGGGTAGATTTGACTGGCTAATGCAGTGATACATGTGCAAAACCAAAATGAACTACTGTATAGGAGTGTGCATGGGGTTGATTTAAACTGAAGTCTGTGTAGCAAGTGAAACTTAAAATCAACTTCAAATCCCTATAAAGTTTATTTTTATTGATAAATGGCCAAAATAAAGTTTCTGTCCATCGGCTTACGAAGGTTTCAGTGTTGCTGTTCTCATGTCGGCAATGTTCCTTCTATTTTGGATGTTATTATTCAAGGAAGACATAAAAGGTTCATTCACAATACACTTGTACACAAATTGAAAATTGTAGTTAAGTGATTAAGGCACCAAGTTAGAAATTGAGAGATCAAAGCCATCTGGGTGACTTTGGGCCAGTCACTCTCTCTCAGCTCAACTCAGCTCACAGAGTTATTGTGGGCAAAATAGGAGGAGGAAACGGTAACAAGCATTTAGACTTATATATTGCTTCACAGTGCTTTAGAGCCCATTTGAAAAGTTTCACAGAGTCAGCATATTGCCCCCAACAATCTGGGTCCTCATTTCGCCAACCTTGGAAGAATGGAAGGCTAACTGAACCTTGAATTGGTGAAATTCAAACTTCTAACCACTGAGCCAACATGGCTCATGTATTAGGTATGTTTGCCTCTTTCAGTTATTAATAAAAATAATAAGGCAGGTTATTTTTTTAAAAAAGAAAACAAATTTCTTCTTGTTGAGTGTGCTTGAATTCTGCATTTTTATTGATTATTTCTATTGATGTTCAATCTATTGGGCCTGTTTAAAATGTGGGAACATTTATTGATATTGAGCTAAAAAAAAACACCTACATTTGTTTCTGTGTGGTAGAACAATGGGAGCTGTATACGTGCATTGAGTATAAATGGGATTTTTTTAAAAAAATAGCATTTTTAAGTTAGTGTTAACTTCTCACAATTTCCTAAATATGGCCCTGCAATTTTCTTAGCAAGATTTTTGAAGTTGTTTGCCATTGCTTTCTTTTTCCAGGGTTAACAGAGAGGGGACTGGTCCAAGGATCCTCAGCTGGTTTCATGCCTAAGGAAAAATTAGAACTCCTGGTGCAGTGGTGGGATTCAAATTTTTTTTACTACTGGTTCTGTGGGCTTAGCTTGATGGGCATGGCAGGGGAAGGATACTGTAAAATCTCCAGTCAGAGGTGGTATTTGCCGGTTCTTTGAACTACTCAAAATTTCCGCGACCGGTTCTCCAGAACTGGTCAGAACCTGCTGAATACCACCTCTGTCCTAATCTCTCCATTTCTTAAATAGGTGTCTTGACCACTATACCCATTCATATTAACATTCATTTATATTCAATTATTTCACATTAATTGAAAAGAGTTAAAGATTCCAATGGAGATTTTCCATTCTGTTCTGCAATTTATGGATGATGAAATAGATGAAGTTGTTTCCTCTTTTCAGACAATCATTTTTACTTATCCACTTCAATCAATCAATCACCTGAGTTCTTCTGATTGTCAGAAATACAGATCATTCTGCTGACACCTTAACATTTATACAATTAAAAAAATCAATAGACTCTAACAGGAATCTTACTAAGCAGCATTCCAGTCTCTGTGGAAAGGAAATTTCTGTTTGCTCTGGAAAATGTAATTGTACATGCAGCTTAAAATGAGTGATAATAATATTATGACTCATTTTAAAGTCCAGAAATATTTCATGAGAAGAGTTCTCCACTCCTCTACTCATAGCAGAATACCTTATGCCACCAGACTTGAAATTCTAGAACTAGAAAATCTTGAATTACGCCATCTTCGGTCTGATCTAAGTATGGTATATAAAATCATACATTGCAATGTCCTACCTGTCAATGAATACTTCAGCTTCAACCACAACAACACAAGAGCACACAATAGATACAAACTCAAGGTAAACCGCACCAAACTTGATTGCAGGAAATACGACTTCAGCAACAGAGTGGTCAATGTCTGGAATACTCTGCCTGACTCTGTGGTTTCTTCCCCAAACCCCAAAAACTTTAACCTTAGACTGTCTACTATTGACCTCACCCCTTTCCTAAGAGGTCTGTAGGAGGAATGCATAAGCGCACCAACGTGCCTACCGTCCCTGTCCTATTGTTTCTTTTTTTTATTTGTATCCATTTCATGTAATAATAACCATGTTTATACTTGCTTGACAAATAAATAAATAAAAAAATATAACAGCTGACAGCACGCTTCATTTCTAAAAACAAAGAGAAAACTATTTAAACAGTTACATAGCAATAGCACTTAGACTTATATACCTCTTTATAGTGCTTTCCAGCCCTCTCTAAATGGTTTACAGAGTCAGCCTGTTGCCCCCAACAATCTGGGTCCTCATTTTACCCACCTCAGAAGGATGGAAGGTTGAGTCAACCTTGAGCCTAGTGGGATTTGATCCGCCAAATTGCAGGCAACTGACTGTCAGCAGAAGTAGTTTGCAGAACTGCACTCTAACCACTGTGCCACCAAGGCTCTCCATATGCTGTTCTCCTTGTAAATTCAACATATAAACATAAAACAAGGGCTGAATGTTCAGAATTTCATTCTGGTGGTTGCATCACATGCTACATCTCAAAAGAATAGTATTATCAGGAAGAAGGATCATCGTATCCATTTTATGTTGGTTTCAGGTTAATTTGGCTGCAGATCAAAATAGAAAATTAGAATAGAATAGAGCTGGAAAAATTCTTGGAGGTCTTCTAGTCCAGTTCCCTGCCCAAGCAGGAGAACGCAGAGGTGGTATTCAGCAGGTTCTGACCAGTTCCAGAGAACCAGTAGAGGAAATTTTGAGTAGTTCGGAGAACCGGCCAATCCCACCTCTGACTGGCCCCATCCCCATCTATTCTCTGCCTCCTGAGTCCCAGCTGATCGGGTGGATCTTCTTTTGTTGCCTTGCACAGGAGAACGGAGCTGGAAAACAGGTTAGTGGGGTGGGGAGGGAATGGAGATATTGCAGTAACCTTCCCCTGGAGTGGGGTGGGAACGAAAATTTTACAGTAACCTTCCCCTGCCACGCCCACCAAGCCACGCCCACAGAACTGGCAATTAAAAGAATTGAATCCCACAACTGGGAGAACCTATACTATTTTAGTTAAGTGGTTGTTGGGTCTCTTCTCCAAAACCTCCAGTGATGGAGCGCCGACGATTTCTGAAGGTAAGCTATTTCACTGGTCAATTGTCCTCACTGTTATTATCCTGTGAAATGTAACTTCATTCATGTCAAAGGTGGCTCATGAGATATTTGTGAAGTCTTGTTACATTACCTCCTCTACCCAGGTATTCTCTTGTCATGAATACCCTTGTTTTTGCAGATTTCTTCCGAGCACTGAAAGCATTAACAACAATCTCAGTAGCAACATATATTAACCTCAAGTGGATGGATTTCTCAAATAGTTTCAGGGCAAAATAAGAAGGTAGCCCTAAGCAAAAACCGGGTTTAGGACACTTATCTGATTCAAAATGCCATTCTCCTTGTAAATTCAACATATAAACATAAACATAAAGCAAGGGCTGCATGTTCAGAATTTCATTCTGGGGGTTGCATCACATACTACTGAGAAGTGGATTGGAAGGAAATGGTGGGCAAGACCAGATTGAATGTTACGGGAAGGTTCATCTTTTCTTTTTTCTCTGGCGTCTTCTTTTCTCTACTTTCCACTTCTCTTCCTACTCTATCACAGGGTCTGCACTTCCAATTACTGGAAAAAATGTTGAAGCTTCAGTCTCACCCCTTTGTCTAGCATATTACTTAATAATACTTCCTAGGCATTTTTGTTTTGTTTAATTTTTACCAGAATGGATTGTCGTTTTTGCAAAATAGGTAAAACTTTATAGGCAATGTCATGGGTTTTGCTTTGTGAATGTATTTATTTTATTAATTTTTTTATTTTATATTTTACAATAATTCTATTTCATTGTAACCATTGTTGACTTGGTACATGTATCTTGTGCTTAGAATTATAATAAATACTTTTCTTACCAATATAATAATAATCACATTTTCTTATAATTATTATTTAATATAGCTATTATTTTTTAACACTTATCTTATTGCTATATATATTCATCTGGTCCATTTTAATTTGTTTTATTTTCCAACCATAATAAAATAAAAATAATAAATAAATTGATAAAATAAATTGCATACCGTATAATATTCCATTTTTTCTTTTTCTTTGATTACCAATGTTAACCTATTTATCTCTGCACATTCAAATATTTTCTCAATTAATAATATTTTCCCTCTATCGCTATCTTATCACTTTTCCAATTCTGAACAAATACAATTCTGGCTGCTGTTAATACATGTATAATTAAATATGTTTTTTCTTTACTGTAACCTTTACTGTACCATTCCTAATAAAAATATTTCAGGTTTCAAATCTAATCTAGGTGTTTAATTATTTTTTTCAACTATGTATGTATTTTTGTCTAGTATCTTTTAGCTTCTATACAAGACCACTGCATAATATGTTCCAGGTGTCTGGTGGTACTTCCAGCATTTAGCTGATTTATCTTTGAACATCTTGGCTAATTTTGCTGGTGCAAAGTGCCATCTATAAAACATCTTACACAAGTTTTCTTTGTATGCTGTCGATATTGTTAATTTGTAATTCCTATCCCATAGCTTCTGCCATTTATCTAATTCTATAGCATATCCAATTTTTTTTGCCTATACTATCATTGTTTCTTTAACTTGTTCTTCTTCTAGTTTAACACCTAGTAAATAGCACTACAATCTTTTAATCAACTTATCTTCTGTTCCTATTAATATTTTATCCAATTCTGTCAACTCCTTATGAATCCCTTCAGCTTTAATACCTTTTTCATATCTTGGTTGTATTTGCATATATGAATACCAATGTATTTCCAACCCTTGTTCATTCAATTCTTGTTTAGCTTTGAACTCACCCTTTTCATTTAAGATATCTTTATATTCAGCAATAGCTCTCATTTTACAAACATTTGGGTGCATAAGTGCTTCCATTGTTGATAGCCAGACTGGAATCTTCATGTAATGTTGTTATCTACTTTTTTCCTATGCTAATAACAATGCATTCCTGACCATATGTCTTTGAAAATACCCATGTATTTTACTTCTTCCATATCATAGAAATGCACGCCAGCCCAGTTGCAAATCATGTCCCATGTGAATTTATTTATTGAATTGCCCCTAACTTACAGAAAAACAATATTGCCATTATGGATTGAAGTATATGCCAAACTTAAAAGAAAGCAGTTCAATGATTTAAAAACCAAATTCCTTCAATTTCTGTCTTTATATAAAGAGTGGGAGGAAAGAGAAAAATAGAATGACGGACAGCAAGGTGGATGGATTCAGTTACAGTTACAATGAATGCACCATTGGAGACTTGAA